AAGTATCAAGAAAACAAGCCTAGGCTCTGATACCATTGAAGGGTTTTGAGCATTCTAACACTCCTAAGGTGTACATGTAACCCTAGAAACCTTGGATCTATGTTTTACTAAGATACATGCAAATTTGATTTCCAAGGTTCTTAACCTATCTAGCATGGCATGGGGAACTTGAATCATAAAAGCTAGTAAGAAAACATACATTTCTTGTTGTTTGAATTCCTTAAGAACCTTGTAAGCCTAACACCTCAAGTGTCATGCCTCAAATGTCTCACACAACACCACAACACTTGGAATAACCTTGAGAGAAGTACACTTATCACTCAAAATCGGCTAGCCCTCTTGTTCATCACTTGTAGTATCGATTTTGCTAGTCATGGGGTCCTTATATAGTTGTGTCAAAAGTAGGGTTACCCCATGTAAACCCTAATGTGCATGGCTTTTCATATTACATGATCCACGGGTTTATAACCTCCATGGACTATCCATGGAGCACCTTATAGGTTTAGCCCAATTCATATAAACCATGGATCATTAGCCCACTATACAAGAATGGATGATTTACACAATCAACCCCATATATTTAATTAGTCTCTATTTGATCACTTAATTAATTCCAAATTAATTATTTGATCAATACTAATTAAATAATATTATTAATATATTAGAACTTATAATATATTAATAATCCTTAAGTGTCCTTTCTCTCATTTAGTATATCCAAGTGTTGCAATGCCATGCAACCCAAATGGACCATGCTAACCGGGTCAAGTACATTCCAGGAATAGTTATGAACTTAGACACCTAATCCAACACTTGTTTCTACACCATGTGATCCTTAATCAAATTCATTTTTCTAGTTTTACCTCACTAAATTTTGTTTACTTTCAAGAGGTTAACTTGTATGTGACTTCCAAACTGCATACTTCCATATAGATGCACTTATACTCTAATGGTTTTCAAGGTTCTCCTTGTAATAGGGTTACAATTTAGACCTTGCTTGGTCCAAATATTTTGGGTTGTCACATCATCCCCCCGTTAGAGGGAATTTCGTCCCAAAATTCAAATTCTCTGTGGAATAGCAAGGGTTTAGTTTCTTTTGATCTTCTCGTTCTAAGATCCTCACTTAGCGTTCTAGCGGATCTTTGTTATTAGTGTTTAACCTTGATCTTTTGATTTTACAGTCTATGATTTTCACGTGTTCCCCTTTGGAGTGTGGGTTCTTGTTTCCCTTGATCTCGTCGAGTGGGACCATGAGGTCTTTTGCTGGTCTGACACTTATTAGGTTTGAATATGTGGAATGGATGTACGATGTTGAGTTCTTATGGTAACCGAGGGCTATTGGTTACTGGAACTATCCTTAATGGTTTTCTAAAGATTGTGCTCTTAGTGTTCTAGGAGTAGAGTTCCTGGACTTTAAGGATTAATATTTATTGTTACCAAGGTCGAGGTTGCGTGTGGTGCAACTGGTCTTATGAATCCTAGGTTTCCTCGAGGGTTCTCTTCCTACAGAATCCTGAACTAGTGGAGTGTCGGCCATTGCTTGATTCCTTGAGTTGGGTGAGTGGGCTGTCGATTCGGATTAGGGGTTATCGATCCCTAACAATGCTTCTTACTTGACTCTTAGTGTTTAGTTGTCCTATGAGCAATTCACTTTTCTTCCTCGAGAGTCGGGAGAGTGTTTTCCTGAGGTTAGAGGCTTGGTCTGATAATCTCCTTACTTATTAGGTCATTCTATTGATTGGACAATATTTTTTCTGTGTTGGTGCTAAGTTGTATCGGGGGTATGGTTATTGAAATGGTTCATAGATTCGAGTCGATTCCAAACTCCACTTAGCACATGGGTTATGTTTCCGAAAGATCTTCGGGTATATATGGGGGAGGTTGCAAATCTCTGGGATTTCCTTGATGTCTTTTGTTTCTTGTATCTCACCTTTATTGTGGGGTTAGGAAGGACCACATTATCTCTTACCTAAGTACTCGTGAGCCTAGATGCTAGATTTGGTCCGCGGATTTGTAGTTATGAGTTGAAAGAGTTTTGTTAATCTTTATGGTAAGGCGAAAGGTCTCCTTGTAGCGCTTGAAACTGGTATAGAGAGGATCAAGTCAGTTCATAACAAGTGGCGACTTTGGACTTCTTATAGTAACTGATGCTAAGTTGATTTGAATGGGAGACAATTGTTTAGAATGATTGCGTATTCTACGTATATATCCTTGATGCTTCCGGTTCATCTTTATTATTATTACTGCGAACATTTCATAATGTATTCCTTACAAGATTCTTCTATAATCGCCTGGCGTATACAAGTCAGGTATAATTACGATCGATAAGGCAGTCGACTGAGTGGCCCTGCCCTAATGCCATAACCAGACAAGGAACAGAAAATTAGGGCAGGATCACGCACTCTTAGTATGTAGAATCTCAGTTACGTATGAACCTAATGTTTACATTGATCTATCGTAACTCGCCTGTGAGGATTGCTAGTTTTTCTGCGAATGATGTTGTTTTGTTCGGATGATGGAATATTTTACGACCATGTTATTAAGTTGGAAAAAAAAATTGTTAAGATTTGATGCTTAATTTTTGGTGTTTGAAAATGTACCAAAAATCTTGGTGGAGGTCCTTGTTGTTCCTTCAGGTCCAACTGTTAAACTCCTCTTGCTTCTCTATCATTTCCCCCTGTTGGGTAATCTCTCTTAGAGTGCCCCGTTTCACCGCATAAATAACATATCGGGCTTACTTTTGGGATGGAGGTTCGAGTGACACGTGGGGTCGGGGACCTACAGTGGTGGGAGGTGTGTCCCTTCTTGTTGCACCTATTGCAATGCAACTTTCGGCAGGCTCCATTATTATGGAAGCTGCATTTGTTGCATTATGGGAGGCTTCCAACATATTGACGCACTGGTGTTGGTGTTGCTGGTATTGTGGCAACATGGACAGCAATCATGTGTTGTTTCTTCGAGAGTCCTTCAGTTGGTTGTCCCTTCTTCTTATTCCCAGATTTTCGTTTCTTGTTCCTAGGTTCGGGGTTTGTGATGTCTTGGTAGTTCGTGACTCGTTGGTTTCCTTGGTTGCTACTACAGTTGGAATTGTCGGCATTGTTTCCATTTGGGTTGTTAAATTGTGCAATGACGGCGGTCACTGCAGCCATTACGACGACTTGGAATGTCGCGGCATCTACTCAACGAGTGCATGAACTTGACTCATCGATTTGCCCTTTTAATGAGTGAACTTGTCGAGTCAGTCAGTGGACTCGGCGATTTCATCAGTCAGAGGCCAGAAAATCAATTTTCTCAGCATTGAAAAATAAATAAGAATCAAATATAATAGAAAACTACCCAAGGCTATGATACCACTGTTGGGTTTTATGTACTATAACACTCCTATGGTGCACATACAACCATAATAGCTTTGGATCTAATTTTTCTCGAGTTATACATGCAATAAAATTCCAAAGCATGAAGCCTACAACTAACATACACTTTTAGTACATGAATTATAAAATCAAATTAGAAGAATACTTCTTTATTGTAGCTTGTAGTTTTGGCCTTTCAAGAGCTTAGCACCTCAAGTGTGATGCCTCAAATGGTTCACAAACACCATGAACAAAGCAGGACTGAGAGAGAGAGAGAGAGAGAGGTTACACACTCTAAAATCGGCTATCTCTCTTCCTAGAACACTTAGGGCCAATTTTAGCTAAGGGATCACACATATATATGTTACATTATGTGTCTAAGTTCATAACTATTTATGGAATGTGCTTGACCCGATTAGCATGGTCCATTTGGGTTGCATGGCATTGCAACACTTGGATAGACTAAATTAGAGAAAGGACACTTAAGGATTATTAATATATTATAAGTTTTAATATATTAATAATATTATTTAATTAGTATTAATCAAAGAATTAATTTGGAACAAATTAAGTGATAAAAAAGAGACTAATTAAATATGTGGGGTTGATTATGTAAATCATCTATTCTTGTATAGTGGGCTAATCCATGGTTTGTATGGATTGGGCTAAAACCCATAAGGTGCTCCATGGTTAGTCCATGGAGGTTACAAACCCATGGATCATGGAATATGGAAAGCCATGACAATTAAGGTTTACATGGTGTAACCCTACTTGTGCCACAACTATATAAAGACCCCTATGCAAGCAAAATCGGCACTACTACTTGTGCAAGCAAGAAAAGAGGGCTAGTCGATTTTGAGGTGTTAGTGAACTTCTCTTAAGGTTATTCCAAGTGTTGTAGTGTTGTGTGAGACATTTGAGGCATCACACTTGAGATGCTAGGCTCACAAGGTTCTCAAGGAATCCAAACAACAAAAGGTATGTTCTTCTTCTAGCATTTATGTTTAAAAGTTCCCCATGATATGCTAGATAGGTTAAGAACCTTGGAAAACTATTTTGCATGTATCTTAATAAAACATAGATCCAAGGTTTTTAGGGTTGCATGTACACCTTAAGAGTGTTAGAATACTCAAAACCCTTTAATATATTGTGAGATTCCAAGAGTCATGGGTAAACCCTAATCCATACACTTAGGTTATGATCCATATCTCATGTGGGCTAACTCTTCATGGATACTTATATAAACTTAGCCCAACATGGATCAATAGCCCAAACAACATATATAAATATATATATATATATATATATATATATATATATATATATATATATATATATATATATATAAGAAGGATCATTTGAGAACTCAAAGTTTCGCGAGAACCCGAGAACTAAAGGTAGAGCGTTAGATCAAAATCTTGAATGGCTTAGATTGATCATGGCGTAATTGTAATTATCACTTGTTTCGATGGTATCTTAGACATTTTATTAATATTTACAAGGGCAAATTAGGAATTTAAAATATCAATCATAGTAATCAATTTAACAAATTAAAAAAACCCCCACACACAAATATGCGTTTCTAACTTTCTCTCTCACCTCTCAAGTTCTTCACGGCTTCATCATCCGCCTCCTTCCGATGAATATCTCTCCATGCGATCTTTCTGCCACCGATTTCTGCCAAGGATACCACCACATTGAGAATCGAATTCGACGCATAGACTAAGGATCGACGATCCACTCCATCTACCGCCTTCCTCCTCCTTCCATCCTCCATCTCTACCTGTTCTGACAAACAACAATGACTACAAATCCACAGTCCTCGTCTGGCATATCAACAACGTCAAATCCACGATCCAAGAGATCTATGCCATTCATTTTTATGTTCGATTGCAACAATAAATCGTCGAATCGCATTTGTGGATCACCTCTATCTGGCGAGGATCTTATACCGCTATTGCCTTCTTTTCCAATCGCACCTCCGACCGCCACAAACTACACAAACACCGTCACATATGGCTCCAACCTCCACAGTTCCCACCTATGTATCAATTATCAAGTAAGTATCATCAATTACTTCATGATTGAATCTGTTTTCATGACCTCGATCTGTTACATTGAAATGTTGCTAATTTGATTTACTTTAGTTTAATTATATTCTTCCAATGTTGTTTGACATAGAATACTCTTTGAATCAAAACCATTGATTTTCGCGAGAGTAGAGATCTCCTTGTTCCGCTCACCACCTGTTCGATGATATGCCTCATAGTGTTTTCGGTTCTTTTGAGCTCATAAGAGGTGACATCACATGGAGATCATTCTTTTGCGAAAACTAGAATACATCAAGTGGCATTTGCTATAACTTGCATTCTCGTTTTCACTTTATCGATTATTGTTTTCATCATATATTACAGCAGTCTTGTTCCAAATGTTTTTGTGCCCTAAAATTCAACGAGCTCTTACAATATTTTCATTGTTTATGATGCTTTGGTGCATATCCCCTTACCTTGAACCAATGCTTCTTGCTCATATCAGCTGGTTCTTTATCCCACTTCTTCTTAGATCACCTGTTTGAGGTAATATTTCTCTTCAGGTTTACATATTAGAGGCAAAAATGCTAAGAGTTATTAGCTTATCAGAGATCAAATATGGTAGGAAAATGGGCATTCGACCATGTACACTTGGATACTGAGCCCAATTAAGCTAAATTGTCCTTTTTTTTTATATTTTTATAAAAAACAAAATACATCTTACTTGAAACAAAGCTGGTATAGTTTAGAAGTCAGCAGTTAACACTAAATGGATATGAGAAATCTATAAATTCATGTTTAATTCAAGTTCATAACAAAAGACAAGGAATTGTAGCATAGCTTAAAAACACAATATATTGGATGCAATGATCTATTATTCCTTCCCCAGACCTCTAGTTCGCAACTTATCAAAATGAAAAAAAAGTCATTCTTAGGGACAAAAAAGTCATTCATCTGATATGCTCCTTTGTTATTTTTACCGGTAACCTACCAATATCCACGTTCTCTTGATAGAATATGTTGATACTGTTGGAATAGTGTCTAAGGCTGCAACTATATTAGGCAAGTATTTGACCCGATTGTGCATGGTCCTTTTGGGTTGCCTTCACCATAGCAACTTGATAGGATGATTTATTAAGAGAGTAAATATTATTAGTATATTATGAGAATAATATAAAGAATAATATGTAGTTATTTGATTAATATAAGTCATAGATTAATTAGTATTAATTTGGTGACTTAAAGAGATTAATTAAATAAGAGGGTATAAACAGTCAATTGCTTGATAGTTAAACTTTAGACTGTAAATCCTTATTGATAAAGCATTGGACGATTTCTAAGGCTAGGATAAGCCAAAAGCGTCCATAGGGTTATTAAGGTAAAATATGGATTAACTTAAAGTCTAAGTTATCCAATTAGGGTTTAAGCTGTAACCCTTAAGGAGTCTACAAGTATAAATAGACCCTATGGCTAAGGGAATTCGACACCCATCTAAAGTAAAGATACTCTGGCCGGATTACTCCCCTCTCCTCTCTCTCAAATCATCCTCTTTGCTAGTTGGTGTTTGTAAGCCATTAGAGGAGTGACAATTGTGACTCTAGAAGCTCCAAGACAACAAGATCAACAAGGAATTCAAAGGTATGATTCTAGATCTGTTTCAATATTGTTATTACACCTAAATAGTCATTAGAAGTCTTGGATTCAAAGCATGTTTGATTAGAAAGCCTAGATCCGAGCATTAGGGTTTTGCATGCGCACATAGGAAAGTTCTTATGGATAAAACCCATCAGTGGTATCAGAGCCTAGCTTGGTTTTCATTGAATTGTTGCTTGATTGTATGAAACTAAACTGAAAATTTTGATTTTTATGTTTCTGAGTCATGGACTCGGCGAGTTCCAAAGTGGACTCGGCGAGTAGGCCTGACTCGGCGAGTCCCTTTGTGTACTCGGCGAGTCCGAGCGTCAGGATTAGCCAAAAACGGGATTTTTTTCATATTTATCTTATGGAAACTTACCTTAATCATATTAGATCAACCCTAATCCGATTTTGTGATATATATGACTATATTTTTGATCTAATTGAAGATAATTATCAATTTAAAAAATATTTGATTTCCTTATATGATAATTATTAATCAAATATAGATAATTATGTGATTTAGATTATTTGTTATTTGATCCTTTATGTTTTAAATGTTTAAAACTTGTCCTCAAGTTTTGAAATTTATGATTTGTGATTAAAAGTTTAATTTAGACAATTTAAATTTCAAACCCTAGAATTTTACAAGTTTAAAATACAACCCTATACTAATATAATATTACAAGATTAATATATATATATATATATAACTTAAATGCTAGTCTTACCGTTAGTAGGCCTCATTCACGAAGCTGGTCTATAAGGTGGGTATAAGGTTGCGGCCTATAAAATGGCGCTTAATGGGTGTACACTCACACCTACCGCTCGCTTGATTGGTGGAGGGTCGTTAGCCGAACGAGTAGGATAGGGTAACCTCATCCTCTCATTAAAAGTATAATAAGAAATACAAAGTAACTACATGTTTTCTTAAAATTTCCCAATCTTAGTTACTTTAGGAAAATGAATTGATGCAATCCCATGAAATTACACTTTGCACCTTGCTAAGAAGTTAGTGGAGCGTGTGTGGTTTACCGGCACACTAATTGGTTCTAAGCGAAGGTGGCAAAGGGTGATTCATTGTTTATCATAGTTCGATGGAGCGTGTGTGGTTTACCGGCACATCGAATAGGTGATCGTTACAATGAAGGCACCATGTTAATTTGCATGGTAATTCACACCCGCTTTGTGATCCTCGGTATCCCAATCACAAACAAGAGGGGCATATCGAGATTTAAACATGCCATTGAAAAGTTTCAATGAATCTCATCCGAACCTAGGAATTCTCAATACATTTAGGACTTAAAGTTATGTTTTTCATGGTGGAGAATTAGTGAATCGTCATTCACTTACCTTCAAATTGTTTGCATGTTAGATTACGCATCCCTTTTCTAATGTGTAAATATTGTTGTTGGATCCTAGCCCTAATTTCTTATTGGGTGAATATTAGGGATTCATATTCTAATCTATCTTTGTCCTTTCTATTTGTAGATGTCGAACGCCAACAATGCTGCTGCGAGTTCTTTCACTTTGATGAGCCTTTGTCAAAAGGTCACCTTTGATGGAACGAACTTTAGCGAATGGATAAGATACATTCGCACGATTGCTCGCTATGAGGATAAGGAGTATGTCCTCGATGAGAAGCTCGAGAAAATCAACCCCGAAATGCTACTCCCGCCGAAATCACCGCTTTCGAAACTCACGAGCGTGATGCAACGAAAGTGCATTGCATCATGATCGCGACTATGAACTCCGAATTCCAAAAGTCCTACGAGGACATGTATCCGTACGAAATGCATCAAGACTTATTGGAGAGATACCATCAAAACGCGAGACAAGAGCGTTATGAGATTTTCACGAACATGATTTCCGCTAAGATGGGTCATGGAGAGTCTCTTACCGTGCACTTGCAAAAGATGCAAAGGTATGTCGACCGCCTTCGCAAGTTAAATGTTGACTTTGGGGAAGACTTGGCGATCGACATGGTGCTTCACTCTTTGCCTCCGAGCTACAATCAATTTAGGATGACCTATCACATGAACAAAGAAGAGGTCACCCTAAGCAAACTCCAAGGTCTCTTGAGGGTCGCTGAGAGCAACTTCAAGGACAAGTCTGTTGCACCAACTCCCAATCCGCCCGCTGCTCCTGTCTTGGCAATTGGACAAGGAAAAGGAAAGAAGAGGAAGGCTTCGTCAAAGAACCATCGCAAGGTGAAAGCCCGAGATGGTGCCTCTTCTAGTGGGACCAAAGTTGATCCCGCTAAGCCCTGCTCTAATCCAAAAGGAGGCAGAGTGCCACCACTGCCAAACAGATAGGACATTGGAAGAGAAGCTGCCCGGAGTACCTGCAAGCCATCAAGGAAGGAAAGATCAAGCCATCTTTCGCAGGTATATATACAATTAAATCTAATGATTCCTACAATACTTCTTGGGTTCTTGATACCGGTTGTGGTTATCACATTTGTTCTAATGTGCAGGGACTAAGAAGAAGTAGAGACGTGGAGCATGGAAGAATAAATCTAATCATGGGGAACAGAAGATCGTCGCATGTGACCAAGATTGGAGTGTATTCTTTAGTGCTTAGGAATAGTTTATCTTTAGATTTGAACAATTGTTGCTATTCGCCAGAAATGGCTAGAAACATCATTTCTTTTCATGGTTTGTTTAGACAAGGTTTTAGATTTCTTTTAATAATGAGAATGGTTCTATTTTAGCTTATCTAAATGGTGTCTTTTACTTTGAAGCTATACCATGTAATGGAATTTATGAAACTGTTATGATTGTTGATAACTTAGGAAATGATGTTTTGTACTTGGATTCTTCCAATAGTATGGATAAGGCATCCTTATGGCATTGTCGTCTTGGACATGTCAACAAGAAACGCATAGCCCAACTCCAAAAGGATGGAGTGTTGGAGTCATTCGACCTTAGGGAAGATGACACATGCGAGTCTTGTTTACTTGGAAAGATGACTAAGTCACCCTTCGCTGGTACGTGCGAAAGGGGTGAGGGTCTATTGGACCTCATACATACCGATGTATGTGGACCGTTTAGATCTACCACAAAGGATGGAAACCGCTTCTACGTGACTTTTACCGATGACTATAGTAGATATGGGTATATCTACTTAATCAAGCAAAAGTCAGAAACTTTTGAAAAGTTCAAAGAGTTTAAGAATGAAGTGGAGAATCAATTGGGCAGGAAGATCAAGATGCTTCGATCCGATCGAGGAGGAGAGTACTAAGTCTTGAATTCCACGATTATCTCAAGGAGTGTGGAATAGTTTCACAATTGACGCCACCTAGGACACCACAATTGAATGGTGTGGCAGAAAGGCGTAATCGAACCTTGTTGGACATGGTTCGCTCTATGATGAGTCGTGCTTCGCTATCTATCTCTTTTTGGGGGTATGCCTTAGAGACTGCCGCCCATATCCTTAACCGAGTCCCTACTAAGAAGGTTGCCAAAACACCTCACGAGATGTGGACGGGGAAAGCTCCTTCGTTAGCACATATCAAGGTTTGGGGTTGCGAGGCTTTCGTAAGACGAGATACTCACGACAAGCTCGAACCTCGTAGTGAGCGATGTATTTTCATCGGCTACCCGCAGAAATCCTTTGGATATCTCTTCTATAGACCGAAGGACAATGTTGTCTTTGTTGCGAGGAGAGGAGTTTTCCGAGAGCGAGAACTCATAAGCGAAGGAGACAGTGGGAGGCAAATCGATCTTGAAGAGATTCAAGAGTCGATAGATGAAGGAACCTCTACCGCTGGCGATCAGCCCGAGGAGGAAACTCCGGTTGAACCGATTGACATATCATTACCTCTTAGACGTTTCGAAAGAGTTAGGTTTCAACCCCAGTTGTATGGTTTTCATATTACTACCGAAGGGGACACGTATATTAGTGATAG